CCGCGGTGACGAAGCAAATGCCGGGTCAGCGTGTGCAGGCGTAACTGCCACAAACGATGCAGCACTACATCTCGAGGCAACACAAGATCGCGCTCATGACGGGACGACGCAGTCCTCCGACCTAAAAGTTCGATCATGGTGGCAGACCGTTTATGGAGAGAGCTCAGGTTTCAGCCTCAGCTACGTCTCTGACCAGTCAATACCTTGGTCAACCAATGCGTTCGAGACTGTCTTCAAGCTCGACGATTCTCAAGACTCGAAAAAGGTGCTACGTCTACACCAGGAAAGGAACGAGATCGTCCGAGCAATAGCCACTATCTTCAAGGAAGTGTGCCCCCAGATCCTCAACGGGCAGCCTTTCATACATTTTGGCCACCAAAAGGTTCACGTCAGATTCCACAGCCCGTCGTTTCTTCAAGCTTTGTGGAAAGCTCCACCCTCTTTCAAGGGCAAGCCGATGAAGTTGGTGTCCAAAGGTTTGGCGAAAGGAGGCATCAGATTCTACACCGCTTGTCTCCCCTCTGAATCGATGGTGGACCTTGAAAGGAGGCTCAAGGGGAAGACGTTTCCTGGGGTGGAGTTTATCTTGGCGGAAATGTACGATGTCGAGACATTGGGGGGCGGCCCTATCTTTCGCGGTGACCTGGTGCTCTTCTGTAGCGCTGCGATGACCGGCTTCCTCGGAAAAGCTTGCTACGAGATACCATACCCTCCGAAGAAACCCTGAAGGTTGAAGGCATGTCACCTGTTCGAGGAACTCTCACAAGCTTCGAAATATCCATTCTCCCACGTCTGTTCCGATTCTGTGACTTGCTGAGCAGCGTGATACTGTCGACTGATGGTCGTGTCATGCACTCGCAAAAAGAAGGCGGACCCAAAACGAAATCGCAGAGGGGCTCACTTCTGTGCTGCGCCTTCTGTGACGAAGAGCAGATGTGAGCGACCTGGGCAATCTAGCTGCTTACGAAGCTCATATGAAGTCACGGACATCGCTCGGCTTCAGTCCTTCACATCTTCTCGCCCGAGCTTGAGATGAGGTCCGTCAAGTCGTGATTTTCAAGTGGCGTCGTACAGAAGGTTGAGCTCATCAGCAGGCTATCGAAACATCCGTCTTCCTAAATTGCGCCTGTCGCTGGGCGGCTGCCCTTTCAAGGCTAGTATGAAGCCGGTGACCACCGATCTTCGACGGCGGGCAGGGCAGATTGATATCATCAGAAGGAAGGTGCCGTGATGAAAGCGCTTGACGTGACTCGAAGGCTGGCAGTGGACGTTCCGCAAGTAGACGGTAAGCTCTCGTGAGAGAATCAAAGAAGAATCCGCTGCAAAGGTCCGAAAGAAGATGAGACTCTACTGCAGGGAAAGTGTGCGGCAAGAATCTCGACTGGATGCCGTACTCGTGCTCTTGGCGAAGGTATATAAACCTCACGATCTTGCAGCTCGAACGCCTCGAAAACCCAACCTTCAACTACAATCGCCTATACGACCATCCTACGTCTTTCTTCAACATGTCGGAAAAGTCCTGGGTTGCAGACATGGCCCCGAAGGACGGCGAGGTGGGTGCAAAAAGCTTTACAGCTCGCTATTGTTGAGCGAAGCGCTAACTCAGATGCTCCTATGTACAGTCTCAGGCCTCCACGGAAGCCTCCCTGACCGCGGAGACCGATCATGACGATGAGTCCGCTTCCTCCTCCGGCAAAGACACCGCAGGCCAAGAGAACGAGCAGGAATCTGTCAAGACAGAGGCGATTGAGCCCCCGAAGCCGTCGGTTCGGTTTTGGTGGGAAATACTTCACGGTGCCGAGGCCGGCTTCAGCGTCGAGTACCTCTTAGACCACTCGGTTCGTTGGTCAGAAAAGGCTTACGAGACAGTGCTCCGATCCAAGTCGAAGTGTGGCTTCGAACTGAAGGACAGGAAGGAGATCATCGAGAAAATCGCAGCTGTCTTCCAGCTTGCATGCCCCGAAAGCGGTGATCAACAGCCGCATATCTACTTCAGAGGCAAGGATGTCCATGTCCATCTCGAAAGCCCGGTGTTCCTCGAAGCCTTGTGGAGGAAAAGCATTTCCTTCAGAGGCCAAGACATGGTCATCATATCAAAGGGTTTGAGGGGCGGCGGTTTCAGTGTCTACAAGGTCCAAGGTCTGGAGGCAGAAAAGCTGGAGAATTTCCGAACCAAGCTAGAGAAGGAGTACTCATGCTGCCGAGCTATTGTAGCGCTCAACTACGATATTGCTCCTCTAGGAGGAGGTCCGGTGTTCTCTGGTGACCTCTTCATGTTCAGCTCTAAAGATCCAGTAGCCTTGTGGGACCAGAGCTGCTCTCTTGTAAATTGGGCTGTGTAAAGGCCTCGTGGCTTCCACTCGAGCCTATTGCATGCGAGTCCCGGCCCCAGTCGCTGTGCATTCATGCACTGGTATGCTCCCCGCTTTGATGATGATTCACCCTACCTCGTCCCACAATCACGCATGCGGCACCGTATGTGCGCATATGCATCGCCTGTATAACACAGCCCTCTCCGGGTCCGAACTCTCCCTTCCCCTTTGCGTCGAATTGAGGCAGCCTCGAAACTTGCGCACGAAAGATCCAACGCACAGCTTGGGCATCGGACAGTAGCAAAGCTCAACAGCGGCCGTTTCGACCAAGCAGGCGTGATAAGCTCAATCATTACGCGGCGAAGCTGCGAAGCCACGGCAGCTGAAAAGAAAACCCGTGAGCGACGTCTTCGAGAGTGGCCAAATTGAGGCGCGGCTCGGGCAGCTCATCATCGCAGCAAATCCTGCGTTTTCTTGAGCGCAGTCCGTGCACGAAAGCCCCGCTCCGAAGCGGTTTAAAGCCCTCGCCGATGCTGAAGAAAGATGGCTCTGAAGACCGTGCTTTCTCGGCAAGCAAGTTCTTGAGCCGCTTGTTTCTCGACGATTCCGTGAGACTGGAGCTTGTTGGTCACCAATCGTGTAGGCTGCCTTCCTCCTTAACTGTCACAGTGCATGTGACTGTTACACGCGTGCCGCGGACTGCGCAGAGCGAACCAAACCTTGTTCTGTTACGCTTTGACGCAATTTCGGGTCATTGCTTGTCTGCAATTCCACAGATATGACGAAGGTCTCGTCACTAGGATGCGACGCTCAGTTGGAGAGCGGCTGCAAGAAGTTGCTGCAGCTCGGCTTATTTCGGATGCTCTCAGCAAGACATTTGTTGGGGGGGGGGGGGGGGGG